TTGACATCCTTGTATGTTTTAGAATAAACATGTTTATGTTTAAACATATGCTTATAAGCTTATTTAATTTCTACCACATAAACTGACACAAATATCCTATGCATCAGCTAAATCTTAATGGTACCATATTTGTCTAGGTGAGGGCATGAATCATGGAATTATTATGGATAGATCTCCAGGACTGGACCCAGTCTGTCTACTCTCAATGGACACGTGGATTACAGAAAAAAGTTTGACTATGAAGTGAGCAGATGAAGATATGAAAATGGAAAAAGAGAGCAGAGAGTAAAGAGGGAGGGGAAGACAGGATATGAGTAAGGGAGGACAGAAAGTGGGCAGGTAAGAAAGTACATTAATGAAGGATAAGTTGGCAAGTGATAGAAAGCGTTAGAAAGGAACACTATGAAATACTTAGGGAAGAACAAAAAATGTTGTCATCCTTTGTAATTGAAGAGGACCAAAATAACACCACAATGTCAGGGTGAATGTACGGTGTGTCTGATTGTGAGTGATTCAATCAATATGAGCTTAGAAATCTCTACCACAGGATAGTCCATTTAAGCATTTGGGAATGAGATGTCTCTAAATGCGCACATCTCATGTTCTTAGGGAAGCCTAAGAAGAAGAGGGAAGAAGAGGCACTGAGAAAAACTAGAAAAGAAATGTACAAGGAAAGCAAGTGATTAAGAGAGAGGAAGTAGACTGGGAAAGAAATCGAAGGGACATATAGTAGCAGGATTTGGGAAAGGAAGCACTGCAATTTAATCTTTCCAGTAAAGTTGTTTGGCTGCAAGGCAAGGGATAACCCAAATCTAAAAGAATGTTTGATAGATTCATGGTAGATGATTTACAGGAGGCAGCAGAAAACACTGAGTGGGCAGACGTGGATAGATTGTCATTTCCACCACTGGAAGGAATTTGATGATATTTATGATATAAGAGATATATGTAATAATGAAGATAATACTAAATTATTGATGTGAGGTTCATATGAAATATAGTCTCCCCAATTTAAAGCACTTTGTGTATTTCAGCTATTATGATGGCTAACCTTGGAGAAGGGGGGTGGGGTATAGCTGTTTTCATGTACTTGATGGACTTTGAAGTGGAAGAAGGATTGAATTTGTTCTATTAGGGTTGAAAAGGCAGAACTAGGAGTCATGGAACTTTCAGAGTAACAGAATGAGGCTTTGTGGGAAAGCAAGCATTTCATTATTGAAACTGCCCCAAAGTAGAAGGATGCAGTCACCTCTGGAGACAGTGGGCTTTGGTCCAGTAGAGGCTTGATGCTAAATGCCCACTGTTGGAGATATTACTTATTCCTATACAGGTCAGCCTAGGTGGCCTCTGAAATCAATTCCCACTCTGAGGCAATGTGATTCTGGACATCTTCAGGAACATTGAACCTGGCAAGTTTTCCTTGTGGAATGTGATCACACAATCTTGGACCATGGAAAGTAATAGGTGTAAAGGACTTTAGGAATAATTTAGCCCACTGTTCTCATTTTCCAGATGATGAAATGATACCTGGAGATGAGTCATATTCTTCCCATGGTCAAACAATCAATTTCTGGCAGAACCAAGACTAAACTCTGCTCTCCAGAACTTCCATACTTTATTTTTTTTTTCAATTACCTCAAAGTTCTCATTACATCCACCTGTGGCCCCAAGAAGTCATAAAATGCAGTGACCACGGCCCAGTAAACCATCTCAGCAGCTGAACTAAATCAGGTTGAGGGTAACTGACAGGGCTCAAACTCATTGGTGAAATAGGGAGCTTGGCTACCCCAAGTATGTGAAGACTTCCTCTGGTGGAATGGGCAGATAAGAACAATTTGTTTCAGCAACATAAAGGCAGCTGAAGCAATTAATGTGCAGTACTTAGAACTTGGCCAGACATCAAAGACACCAAGGTCATCTTCTGCATCCTGGGCCATTGCCAGTCATCTTAACTTTTGTCTTGCCACTGGACTTCAGTGACTCTGGGAAAGGGAGTAAAGCTAATGACTTTGTGGAACTTTGCCTCCCTTAAATCCAATTCGCATTCAAGTTAGGACATCACCTTCATGATGTCACTGGTCCTCTTCAAAAATGAAGAGCAAACAATGATATTATAGCTACCTCTCATATATTCAGCAACTCCTACTCCTGATTTCTTTCTGAACTGATTTGGAGGAGAATGAGAGTTGATCTACACATACATAGAATTGTCCAAGGTGATATTCATAGGAATGGAAGGAGGAGCATTTGCACCAGTATAGCTTAGCATTTTTTTTTAAGTTGAGCATCTATTCTTAGTTTAATACTTTGCTAGCTGATTCCAGGGACATAATAAGCAAAGGAGAGAAATTCTCTGTTCCAGCATTATTGATCTTATCACATAAACATACACACAAGCCAAAAGGATAGTAGGATATAAATAAATTAAGGAGTCTGAAAGTAGATGCAATGGAGTAGATAAGAATAGGTCCATGGATGAAATGAGACAAGATAAACCTTAAAAGGATAGATGATCTAGTGAGTTCTTCATTTCTCATTGACTGAGAAATCATGCAATTCTGTCTTGTCCTTGACAATTTTCATCCGTTCTTTTGCTAGTCTGGATATTCCTTTCCAATTACAGGGAAACTTTAGTTGAAGTAGATACTACCTCTTCCGTGGACAGTTTGAATATATTCTATATCTTTTTTCATTTAGATTCTAACTGGATGAGGAACAGAGACAATTCACATCAAGGCAATAGCAGAGCCCTGCTATCTTCTACACTCATAAGACAGTATTTGGAATATCATATTCAGTTTTGAAGTTTACATTTTAGGGAAAACATTGAAAAATGGGAGGGCAAACAGAGGATAACAACCAAAATGACAAGAGTATGGTTGATCATTTTGCTTCCCAAAGATTGGCTGAAGGGTCTGGGTAATAGAGAAGACTTAGATAGGAAATGGTAACAATTTTTAAATACCTGAAGGGCTATAATGTGAAAGAAGGATTAGTCTTGTTGCAATGGTCCTCAAGAGAAGTTAAAGCAACAGAAATTGCAGAGGTGGATTTCAGTTGAATGGAATACTTCCTAAATGTGGAACTGCACCTACATGGGATAGGTTTCCTTCAGAAGAAATAAATTTCCCCAAATCTGGATGCCTGTAGCAAAGGCTGCAGAACTGTGAAGGGGATGTTCATTTTTGTAACAATCGGTTTTGAGGACCTCTGAGGTTTTTGTTTATTTATCTAGGGGTAAACCAATGATTTAAACAGATAAGCAAGGTTTTGAAGCACTGATATCTTTAGAGATCCTGGAAGAGGAGAGCCAGCTTTGAGTTCTGGGAGCTGTCTGAGATGCTGACTGGATTACTAAACATTCTTGTATACAAAGATTGTACATAGACTGTGAGTCCCTTCAATGATTATGAGAAACACAGAAGGGATAAAAGTACTGAATATAGGAGAGGTGATCATTGCTTATGTAGTCGGTATTTTAAAACAAGAGAATCCCAAATAGTTTTGGGAAAAGCTATCTGTCAATAGTGCTGCTGTAGTAATTCTGTGCTTAGCAGGGACAAGACATATTCTTTTCCAGGTCAATATCATGGTAAGGAGATCAATGGGGTGCATAGCTGTTGATTAATTCAGCACCATGGCCAGAAAAAAAATTAGCTAGTTTCTGCTGAGTTTCGTTAACTTGTAAAGTGCTTTACAAACCTCAAAGTTCTCTCTCTCTTTCTCTGTATATATATATATATATATATATATATATATTTGTGTGCGTGTATGTCTGTGTACACATACACATGTTATTATGATGATTACTATTATTGATATTATCATTATTACCAATAATAACATTTTGTTTTTGTTGTTAATCGTGATGGCATTAAGAGCACACAAAGGTGTCATGCATCAGGGAAGTTTCACGAAGAAGACTAGAGACTGTTACAAATGTCCACTATTGTGGAGCTTTTGGGAAAAGTCATTATTTCACAGAAATTGATTTCTATTATACAGTCACAGATTTAGAGATGGAAGGGACCTTAAAAAGACACTTGGGCTGAGTGAGTAGAAAACTAGACTTGGAGTCCAGCAGACCTCAATCCAAATTGTACCCCAGACTCAGTAGTTTGGTGTTCATAGTCAAGTCAATTAACTGTATTCAGTTTGTTTCCATGTCTTAAAATAGTGACAATGATATCATTTGGCTCAAAGGTGGTTGTAAAGAACAAAATGAGGAAAAAAGTAAAGTGTTTTGTAGAATTAAATCACTACATGCAAGTGTTATTAATCTTGTTGTTATGAGTCATAGAGTAAAATCTCTTCATTTTGCATATTAGTAAAGTGGCACAGGGCAGCTAGGTAATGCAGTGGATAGCATGATGGGCCTGGAGTGAGGAAGACTCATCTTTGTGAGTTCATACCTGGCCTCAAGCACTTACTAGCTATGTGACTCTGGACAAGTCACTTTACCCTGTTTGTCTTAGTTTCCTCATCTGTAAAATGAGCTGGAGAAGGAAATGGCAAACCACTCCAGTAACTCTGCCAAGAAAATAGCAAATGGGGTCAAGAAGAGTCAGATATGACTGAAAAATGACTGAAAAAGAAAAAAGTGCTATTCATAGAATTTAAGTGATTTGCCCCAATTCATAGTACTAATTAGTGGCAGAAAGGCAGAGGTGGGTTCTGGTTCCAAACCCAGAGTTCTTTGCACTGATTCAGACTACATCAAGGTGAACATCTGTGCAGGGGAAGGCCATTGTTGAGTTAATGGAGATCCTTGAGATTCTTCCTCAAGGGGAATTTGTGGTGATGTGAAAAAGGGGTGTTTGGACTTTCTGAGACAGTGAAAGCTCCACTTCTGAGAAAGCAACTGCCCAAGACACTGCCTCATCATTTCATGTCCCAGTGATTATGAATTTTTTCAAAAAGAAAACTTTTTTTTTGGTTAGTAAAACTACCACTTCTTTCATTTTCCCCAGTTTTGTTAAAAAGTAACCAAGCATCTCTTCTTAGGAGACATTCTTCTCCCCTACTAGTTTCCTTAATGCCATCTTCACATCCTTATTCCGAAGGCTGTAGATGAGGGGGTTGAGCATGGGCGGAAGGATACCATACAACATAGAGATGATCTTGTCCTGATCCTGATTGGCCTTGTTCTGGGGAATCATGTACACAGATATGGCTGTACCATAGAAGATAACTACCACAGTTATACGGGAGCTGCAGGTGGAGAAAGCCTTCTTTTGACCCTCTGCTGAGTGCATCTTCAGCACAGCCCTTAGGATGCGCCCATAGGAGGCAAGGATGAAGGCAAAGGGTACAAGGAGAGTCAGGGAACTGGTGGCCATCATCAACCACTCATAAAACTCCAGATCATTGCAGGCACCCTTGAGGATGGCCAAGAGTTCACAAGAAAAGTGATTGATCATGTGATGGCCACAGAACTCCAGTGGCATTGTAAGGGTTGGAACCACAGTCAGAAGAAAAGCTGCCACCCAGGACATGACTGCTAGCTTGACACAAAGCTGGGGACTCATCCTAACGGGGTAGCGCAGTGGGTCTCCAATGGCAATGGAACGATCATAGGCCATGACAGCCAGTAGGAGGCATTCCACAACCCCAAAATAAAGGTCCGCATACATCTGTGCCAGACATTGTCCCAGGGAGATGGAGGGAATCCTGACCAAGCAGTTGATGAGAACTTGAGGCACACTAGAAGAAGTGTAACACATGTCTAAGAAGGACAGGTTACTGAGGAAGAAATACATGGGGGTGTGGAGCCAGGAATCATAGTGGACCAAGAGGAGAATGAGGCTGTTCCCAAGCAAGATGATAAGATAGGACATCAAGAGCAAGCAGAAGAAGATGACTTGGGCTCTGGGATACTCTGAGAGTCCAACTAGAATAAAATAGGTCACATATGTTTCATTTCCTTCATCCATGGCCGTCTCTCTTTTCTATCTGAAGTAAAACAGAAGAAAAGTCATGACTTCTAAAAAATTGTAACTATTTTGACAGATATTTTGAACGTCAGGCCAGTATGCGGGAACCATTTTGACCAAGAATTAAATATCTATGATTTCATAAGGCCCTACACATCTCCATAAAAAGGTTTCATGAGATTATTAAATAACGATAATAATACTTAGTTTCCATTATATTATGTTATATTATGTTATGTTGTGTTGTGTTGTATTGTCTTGTGTTGTGTTGCATTTTGTTGTATTGTACTGTTATATTACATTATATCATATATATCATATCACATCATATTATAATAGTATATTATATATTATTACCTTATATTGTGTTATATTACATGTCATTATATTACATCATATATTATTACATTATATAGATATTTATCATATTATATGTGTGTACATACACATTTGTTCTATATATTCTTAGGCATGTATATGTCTCATTGATTGATTTGTTATGACTTTCTGCACTTAGGCAGCTCCTCATATATCACATACCTAACCCATTGTTTAGTTCATACTTTAAATCCTTCCCATTTGGTAGGACTTACTATTACTTACAGTCTACTAACATAGACTTCAAGAGTCCACCATCAACCTTAATTCTTTGATAAGAAATCTACATGGAGCTTTTATGGAAATATGGGATTAAAATAATAAGAGAAAAACAACTTACAAATCCATATACTTAACAATTATAGAGCAGGTAGAGACAATATGGAATAATGGGAAGAGTACTGATCTAGAAGTCAGAATGCTCAGATTCCAATTTGTTCTGTCGGTAACTTGCTGGATTTTCCTGATTGAGTAATTTTGCCAACCTGTTGTTGTTGTTTACTTGTTTCAGTTGTATCCAATTCTTTGTGACCACATTTGAGGTTTTCTTGACAAAGATACTGGAGTGGTTTACTATTTCCTTCTCCAGCTCATTTTATAAATGAGGAAATTGAGGTAAACGGGGGTAAGTGACTTGCCCAGGGTAACTCAGCTAGTAAGTGTCTGAGGCCGCACTTGAACTCAGGAAGATGAGACTTCCTGACTCCAGGCCTGGTGCTCTATGCACTATGGCCCCACCTAGCGACCTACTTATTACTTACCAAGCAACAAATTTCCTTCTACTGGCTAGCAAAAATTGTCTAAAATTTCAAGCATATTAGTGGGGTAAAAAGAGCTTCGTAATTAGGAGCACTATTTGTCTTAGAGCCCCAGCTCCGTTGCTTACTAGATGTAGAACTTTAAATCAAGTGCATTCTCAGCTTCACTTTCTTTATCTGTAAAATAGGAACAGTCATATATTTACTACCTAACTTGTAGGATTGGTGTATATCTGAAATAATGGACATAAAATGCTATACAAATGAGAACTTATTCTGGGGGGAGGCAATCCTGTTCAAAGTATGTTCCAAGTGATTAAATGGTCAGGTTTATGGCATGCCAAACTTATCACAAAGAATTGTAAAAACTCTCTCTCAGAAACTTGGATACTTTGGCTGTGTCTAGCATGGTTTGACATAAATGGGTCAAGGCATGAGATTTATATCCTTTTTATATATGGACTTTGTTACTGAGGTTGCTTATTGCTTATAAGAGGATTTGTTTAGAAAGGTGCATGAAATTCCAGATAAGTAGTCATTCACAGGTGTAGCAGATGGAATCCTAGGCAGGAGTCACAGGAGTTTGATTCTAGCTCCAGTTTGACATCAAATGGTTGGGGGAGGGAATAAGCATTTATGTAGCACCTACTATGCACCAGGTACTGTGCTGAGCCCTTTTTACAGGTATGATCTCGTTTGATCCTCACAACCAACCTGAGAAGTAGGTCCTATTATTATACTCATTTTACATTGATAAGACTGAGGCAAACAGAGGTTAAGTGACTTGTCCAGGATCACATCAGTGTCTGAGATTGGATTTGAATTCAGATTTCCTGACTCTAGGCTCAGTACTCTATTTAGAGTTAACTTAAGCTTACTGTAGCATTTACCAAGTCACTCTGCCTCTCTGACCTCAGTTTCCTCATCTGTAAACTGAAGGGGTTATTCTGCATAATTTTTAACACACCTCATAGCTCTGACCTTTTGTGTTCTGTTTTCTAACAATCCATCTATTTCTCAATTCTCTAGTCCATGTTCTAGCTTGAACATTCTGCATTGTGGGATCCATTTCCTTCCATCTCTAGCATTTTATTTCCAGTGATCTAAGTTACTTTCCAGTTTTGTCCTGTGATTTACATTTTGAGGCTCCTATATTACTCCTGGTATTTGTGTTCTAGCTATGTTATTCTAAACTACTGTATAGGTAGTTCTATGCCATACTCTGTAGGCATTTTGTCTTTATACAAGTCCAATACTGGTCACTATACATGTAAAGGTTAAGGAGAAACAAGAAAGAAACAACAATGATGAAAGAAATGGAAAATCCTTCCCAGGAGGGAAGAGTAGGGCAATTGACATGTTTAACCTAGAGACGAGGAGGCTGATTCAAGGCTCTTCATCAATAAGCCTATGAGAGACTTCAGAAGGGGAAGGAATTCAGAAGTAACTCTTCTGATCTGCGCCTGGACAAGAAAAATGTCTCTAAATGAAAGCAGGTGGTGTTTCTGATATACCGGTCCTTTGACTCCAAATACAGCATAGAAGCAGAATAGTGTGGAGCCCAGAATTTGGAGTCATGACATTGGTTTGTCTTGGCTCTGTAACTTCTTAGCAGTGTTATGACCAACAAGTCACTCTTTTCCTCTCTGCAAAGCGGTGGGGTTGGATCTGATCTCACTGTTAGTGGAAAAAAGTATTGGACACAGATCCAGAAGACCTGTGTTCAAGTCCCAACTTACAAACTTTGTGATAATGAGCAAATCAAATCACCTGTCTGAACCTCTGTTTCCTCATCCATAAAATGGGAATGATTGTTGCATTATTTTCCCATGCTACATTAAAAACAAAATATTCATTACCCTATTATTATTGTATGGTATGGACATCATCTAAAGTCATCATAGATTCCTGAGGAAATCTCCAGGCAGGTAGTTTGTAACTATATCACCGTGCACCGAAAGTCCAAGGATAGAGGAGAAAAGCAGAGATCATAGACCTCCTATTGGCCAATAGGTTGTTCATAGTGAATGTATCTTCATCCTTGAAGACCTTCTGAAATTGTTCCACTTTTGGACCCTTTAGTCAAGCCATAGATGAAGTCATTCTTCATAGATCAAGACATTGTCACTTCTGGACAGGGATGATGACCTTATAGACTACTGGAAGAGAAATTATTATTTTGAAAAGAACACTACCCACATTTTCCCCAGGCTAGCACCATGGCCTATTTGGCTCCAAATGGAGACACACTGTAGGATGGAGGAGGAGTGATGAGGAAGCAGTTTTAAGGATGGGTTGGAATTATACAAGTGAAGAAATGGAGGAGGCAAGTCATCATAGGCAAGTCAAGGGTTGTGTGATATTAACCTTGAATCTCCCTTCCCAGGAGGTCCTGCCTCTTTGTAGTTTGTAGAATCATAAATTTGGTACCTTTATCTTTAAAAATATTGCAATATAATCTTATCTCTCTGTCTCTCTCTATATGTATATAATATACTTGTATATATACATACACATATATCTCACAACATTGAAAGGAACTTTGGAGGTGAATGATGGAAGTCCAACTTGCCACCCATTACAGGTTGTATGCCCATGGTATTCCTGGTGTATTGTCACCCAGGACATCACATCTTATTTTGCCTTTGTGTGCCTACAAAGATGGTGATCCCTTATTTCTGGCATGTGCTCTGTCCTTATTTACATATCAAAGAATCCCTAGCTGCCTTCCAGACACAGGTCATCTGCTGCCTCTTACACAAAACTTTCCTTCATCTCCCCAGTTCCTAAAAGTTCCCTCTCAAAATCATCTTCTGTCTCTCTGTATATAATTTGAATTTACTTACTTGTATAAATACTGTAGTGTCTCCAAAGCAATGTAAGTACCTTGAGGTCAGGAAGTGCTTTGGTTTTGAAATTGGATCACTTGTGTCTAGCAGAGTGCCTTGCACATAGCAGGCACTTAACAAATATTTGTTGAAGTGGAATGACATGAATTCATGATCCCCTTGAACATTTCCTGTGAGGAGGAGCTCAGTATTTTGAAAGGTAGTTTAATTCTCCATTTAATAATTCAATAGCTTAATAGTTTATTTTTATATTGAGTCAATATCTGTTTGCTTATTACTTATAGAGTCAAAGGATCAGAGTATTTTAGAGCTCAACTTACAGATGGGGAAACTGAGACCCAAAGAGATCAAGTGATTGTCCTTAAATCACATAGATAATAAATATTATGGTCAGAATTCACACCAAGTTTTAAAAGTCCAAGCTCAGTGCCCTTTCCACTATATCATGTCCCCATTCTCCCCATGGATTCACACAGAATCCTATTTATTTTTCCACACTAGAGACCTTTGGATATCTGAAGACAGTGATCAGTTTTCTCTTTTTCAGTATCCCCTCAATATCCCCAATTATTTCAATCAATGCCAAATTGTACTGGTTTATTCTCCTGATCATACTAGCCACAGTTCTCCAGATGTGCTACATCTTCTACATCTTCTCTCTCTCTCTCTCTCTCTCTCTCTCTCTCTCTCAACATGTGGCACAATAAATTAAATTCACCAACAAATGGTAAGTGGCACTTTGATTGGAGTGCTGGGCCTGGTATCAGAAAGATCTGATTTCAAATACAGCCTCACATACTTACTAGTTGTGTGAACCTGAGCAAGTCACTTCATCTCCCTCAGAGTCAGCTTTTTTCATCTGTAAAATGGGGATAATATTAACACTTACATCCTAGGATTATTGTTTTTGCATAAAATGAGATAATATTTTAAGGCATTTTACAAACCTTAAAGCACTGTATAAATGTGATCATTATTATTTGTCATGTGTCAGCTCATTTGATTCAATTCAAAATTTATTTCCCCCGGGAAAAAGAAC